TCATTCCTTAATATATATTAGGTATACCTACCTATTATCTAAAATATAAATAAAAGGTATATTTGAAAGAAAGAAAAAAACATTTATTCGACATTAAGCAAGCACACACATACAACGTTAATAATAAAATACAAATACTTATATAATACGGTTTGTGTGTCCATTACATTTATATTAAAGTTGTCTAAAGGGCCTCTGCGCAGTTGGCTTCGGCCCCTCGTACGCCTCCCAAATGACCGGGACCCTGTGGTCCCGTGAATGGTAAAGACATATATAATACAAAACAATAATAACAAACTTAAAAGAGTAAAAACAACATTATTTAATATTCTTTTTTATTATACCTATCACTTTTTGCCAAGTTAATCGTACATAATATGGCACTTATATACAGGCACTATGTGTAATAATATTTAATTATTATATCCGTTAGAAGTGTAGAGTTCGTCGTGTGAATGAGGTTACCGGAGTCCCAATTACCCCCCCCCCCTTCCCCAATCTCCCCAATAATCCTCAAAAGGCCGTTAACGCACTTGTAACACCTCTGATATTTCGGGTGTCCATGGGCGACGCCGATTGCTTATCACCAAGTGATCCGTCAGCTCGTTTACCGGATTATTCCACAAAAAAGGTAGGGCTAACGGCTGAAATGAATCACTGATCTCAATATCCACGATCTTCTACTCATTCTCTTGAAATTCTGTCAATAGGTGGATCTCGTGATTTTGGATTAGGTAAGATTAGGGATTCAATTCCACGGCAAGCCAATCATATCTGTACCTAAAGAAGTGTCTCGGGCGGAAACAGTTGCAAAAGTGACTTTGGAAGGGCTGCAGTTGTCGTGTTGACGTTTCACTTTCATTCGTCTGAATAAGCAAGTTAGATCATTAGAGCTGTTGAACTAGATACAGAATTACGCAATTATCTAATACATAATAGTAACAGTTAACTGCGGCCTTAGTACGAGTTTGTTTTACGTTTAAAGTAATCGTAACGAGTACGCGTTCGGCACTCAGAGGGCCAAGCACGAATAACTATCGCAATCGTAACGTTATAGTATCGAGCGCGTTCGGCGCTCTGATTGGTTGGTTTATTGGAGCCGGCCAATCAGAGCGCGGAACGCGCTAGATACTATTAGCCTTTTTCCTGGGAAGATTAAAAAAAAATCCGCTAGGGGCAGCACCGGTGGGGGGTACATATGTTTTGAATTCTCTATTGACAACAACGTCAAACGTGTAGAATTAAAACGGAATTAACTGAAGATGATGTACCTTTGACGTACGTTTGACGTTGTTGTCAATAGAGAATTCAAAACATATGTACCCCCCACCGGTGCTGCCCCTAGCGGATTTTTTTTTAATCTTCCCAGGAAAAAGGCTAAATTCGTGCTTGGTACTCTGATTGGTTGCTTCATTGGCGCCGGCCAATCAGAGTGCCGAACGCGTACTCGTTTCGAATACTTTAATCGTAAATCAAACTCGTACTAAAGGCCTCAGTTTGCTTTGTTTGTCAATAAAAGTAAAAGTAATCTCATTGTTGTGTTGTGGTGTCACTTCTTACGTATATTTGTTTAACGTTTGTATTCAACAAATGTATCCCTTACCCAGCCGATCAGTTAAGTATATTAGAAGTCCAGTGGCCATTTTTATCAATTTCTCTTACATTTTAAAAGTCTCTAAACTAAGTTAGGCGAGATTTAACATCATTAAGGTTTTCAACCACCTTTAAGTAACACCTAATAGTACAAGTAAGGGGTTAGTTAAGGTGCTATACTAGGCTAAGTGACAGTTTGAGTCGCGGAAGACTTAACAGGTTGCCGGGGCTCCGGTTCGAAGTGCAGGATTAGGAACGGGGTTTTTTAGTCAGTAAGAGTCTGACACTTCATCTCGCTTCACCCGGGCGGAAGAAGTAATAGGATGATTTTTCCCCCCTCAAAAAAAGGCTAAGTGACAGTTTAGGGGCGATTGGTGAAAACGTGCATGAGTCTAATGATTGAAAAGATAAATTTAATTATTCTAGGAAGACCAAAAATCAATTGGGTAGTTTCCAGGGTATCAAAATTATAAATCTAATTAGCCCGTCAGTTAGATAATGAAAAAATATTAGACACGTATTTTTTTATTTTCTCGTATTAAGTTGCAACACTTATATAAAATGGCGCTAAGTTTAGGAGTGGGAGGTTGTTACGTCATAATGTGCTACAAAATGTGACACGCTGTCACGTCATACGATATTTCAAATTAATAATATATCGTCGAATTTAATTTTGTGAGAAAAAAAAATACGTGTCTAAAGTTTTAAATTAATTAATGTACTAGACGGACATTAAAATAATAATTTAGGAAACTACCCTATTTGAAAATCTAGAAACAATGCGACGTTTCGAATTTACATAATGAGTTGTGATGATATACGAAAGGCGACGCGACGGTGTTATGAGTAATTAGTGAGTGTCAGCTTCGAAAACGGCACCAATTTGCACAGTTCATACAATAAACAACGTTATGTTGTCTCTTCATACTTTCTATTTCTATTTTCTTAATATTATTAGCTTCTGCCCGCGACTTCGTACGCGTAATCCCATTTTTTCCCGTCCCCGTTCCTGATTTTCGGTAAAAAGTAAATAAAAAATTTGGTTAAAAAGTCGGTCTCCTGGCTCTAAGCTACCTCCCTACCATAGTATAAAGAACAAAGTAGGTTATCTTCATACAAATGCTCCGCGCGCGGCTTATATGTGTGCGCCATAGTATCTATGCGTCGACGCACGCACACTTTAACAAAATCTCGACCCGTTTCTCAGTGCGCCAGGCAGGGCTAACACTGCACGAGGTTCGCGCGCGCTTCACGGCTTTTCGGCACTGTTCAATGAAATAAAAAATGTCTGATAATCGTAGAAGAACGTATTGCTGTGTGTTTGGGTGTCTTAATAATTAATTGTTTCCAGAACTGTCTCTGTTCAGATTAGGTACCTATTGAACAGGAAAGGTAAGCTAGTCACTTTTTCTAGCATAATATAATTTGTAGGTACTTGATGATGAGATACCTACTTACTTATTCTTACTCTTATCATTCTTCATAGTTCCTACTCAACCAGAAATGTAATTACCTACTATACTTAAATATTATAAGAAAATGTGGTATTGTATTGTTTATTTCACAGTTTATCTGATTTGTTAAGAACGTAGCCGAGTCGCATTTTTCCATATAAATGTATTCCCAAATTTACTTTCTGAATACTATGTATACAGCTAAAGTTTATTTTAAGAAGTTAATAATCTTTTTATAAGCTTTTTATTTTTACTAAATTTATAAATTGATAAAATATTCAATCATAATATGCTTTTCTTTTCATAAATTTAGATCAAGTGCTGCTTGTTCGAAAATATTAACTAAAAGTAAAAGTGACAACCCTGGGGATCAACGCAAGAGTAGGCTAATAACTCGGCGGGCGGCCTTAGACAACCTACTGTATATGTTTATACTGTGTCCCTACCAATTTTCAGCCAAATCTATTCTGTCGTTCTTGAGTTATAAGTGGTGTAACTAACACGACTTTCTTTTATATATATATATATAGATTGTAGCTTCTAGTTTAGTCTTCAAGTTTTTAGCCTTTCCGAAGACAGTTGGAACGTGTAGTGATGTCAAAGTACATACATAATATGTTTTAAATGAAATAAACGTCTGCCTCGTTGGCCAAGTGGTCGCAAGTGCGACTGCCGGGCTAGGGGTCTCGAATTCGATTCCTCGGTCGGGTAATGTATTACTGCTTTTTTTTAAATTCAGTAGTAGCACGGACTCTGGAAATGTGCCCGGTATATGGCAATAGGCTCACCCCCTATTACATGGGACTCATACATAATATAAATAGTGAAAAGTAGATGTTACATTGTACAGTAATGTACACTGCTACATTCGGAGATAAAAGGCGTGATGTTATGATATTTTATTGTTAGAACGTTGTTTGCTTACAAATTATTGCAATAAGTAATTAATCAATGATATTATATGAATATGATTACTATCGATAAATATATTATAATGAATCAGAAATTCAAGGTGTTTTAAAAAATGCTATTACACTATACGTGTTAATAAAATACCAACTAACGTAACCATGTTTGCAAATTGGCAGAACAACGACGGTTCATGGTCACAAAAATTTGCTCAAGTTAAACTTTTTATAGAAATCCAACATGGCGGTCGTATTTGCGATATAAATTAATAGTCTATGCCTATATGTTAAACTTGTTTATTAGACGACAAATATAAAGTCGAGTTTTTTGTTTTAGGTACATTGTACTCGATAATCAGTTTAACATGGTTTAGAATTGTTTTTATAGAAAACCTAGCTGTTCTAGAAAAATATATAATGACTTCAATGCGAAGACTTACTCAAGTTGTTAACAGAATTAATCGTTTGGATAATTTGTAATCATGAGGTCGTCATGGTGAGACAACTGTGGTAAACGATTTCACATATTGTACACACAGTAGGTATCTACTACGTACAAGTAGATACCTATACTATTTACCTCTAATCATAACTACAATGTGTACAATAATGTAAAACCTCGAACTAGATACCGATGTCTTTTTCTAAAGAAAGAACATTGAAAATCGAGGACATTCCTCAACAAGCATAAAAAAACAAAGAAATGGTTTTACTAAATAATTTTCATAATTGTCACACCGCTAAAATTACTTGAAATAGAACCGATTTCTGAGAGCAAAACCGAACCGTGCAAATTTGTTTAATACTAGCTACTTTCGCGCGGTTTCACACGGTCTGCTCAGCTCCTATTGGTCGCAGCGTGATGATTTATAGCCTATAGTCATCCTCGATAAATACGCTATCCGACACAAAAATAATTATTCAAATCAGACTTGTAGTTACGGAGATTAGCGCGTTCAAACAAACAAACAAAAAAACAAACTCTTCCACTTTATATAATAGTATAAGATATAAGATTAATTAAAGATTTTGCAACTCGTTTCAGATGCGGGAACTCCTGATTCTCCTGGTGGCGGCCGTTGCGCTGGCCAGTGCTGCTGACCTGCGTCCCAGTTGCAGTAAGCCCGTCTACTGCGAAAGCGAACTCCTCCATCGAGTGCAAATGGCCAGGCTCTACAACGACTCCAAAACCTTCGTCGATCTTCAAATGAATTATGACCAAAACCAAACATTACATGATTTTGAAACTTTACTCAACGATACGAATCAAGATCCGTCAAGAGAGCAATTGAGAGAATTCGTTAACAAATACTTCTCTGATGAAGGTGAACTCGAAGAGTGGACACCACCCGATTTCAATACTGATCCCAAATTTGTATACACTATAAAAGATAAAGCCTTAAGAGAATTCGCCAAAAACATCAACAACATTTGGCCTCTTCTTGCCCGAAAAGTCAAAGATAAGGTGATTCAAAACCCTGATCGTTATAGTTTGGTCCCTATTACTCATGGATTCATCATCCCTGGAGGACGATTTACGGAGATCTATTACTGGGATACTTACTGGATTATCGAAGGTCTACTTATAAGTGGAATGCAAGAAACCGCTAAAGGGATTATTGAAAATCTCATAGAACTTTTGAATTTCTTTGGTCATATTCCCAATGGCAGCAGATGGTATTATCAAGAACGCAGTCAACCGCCAATGTTGACAGCTATGGTTGCTACTTACTACCAATACACCAACGACACAGAGTTCCTGAGGGACAATATTGCATCTTTAGAGAAGGAAATGGACTTCTGGCTGGATGAAAGATCAGTGACCGTTGAAAAAGAAGGTAGTAGCCACAAACTGCTTAGATATTTCGCTCTCAGCTCGGGTCCAAGACCTGAATCGTATTATGAAGATTATGAAAACGCAGTAGAATTCAGTGAACAACGTCGCACAGACTTCTATATCGATATTAAAAGTGCAGCTGAGAGTGGTTGGGACTTCTCAACGCGGTGGTTCGTCAACAATGATGGCAGCAACAACGGAACCTTAAAAGACATTCACACCAGATACGTCATACCTGTGGATCTAAATGCCATATTTGCCGGTGCTCTCCAGAACGTGGCAAACTTTAACGCCATTTTGATGAACCCTCGCAAAGCTGCCACGTATGGCCAATTGGCTCAACAGTGGAGAGATGCCATTCAGTCGATTTTGTGGAATGAGGAAGAGGGAATGTGGTATGATTATGATATCAGAGACAAGTTACATCGCAAATATTTTTACTCATCTAACGTCTCTCCGTTGTGGCAACATGCTGTTGATCCGAATATAGTGAAAGCAAATGCAGACAGAATTCTGAACAATCTTAAACAATCTGGCGGTTTAGACTTCCCTGGAGGAGTGCCCACATCCCTCATCAGGAGTGGAGAGCAATGGGACTTCCCTAACGTATGGCCACCAGAAGTGAGTATTGTAGTAAACGCCATTGAAAACATTGGAACACCTGAGGCGAGTGTGCTGGCTTTTGAAACTGCACAAACATTTGTTAGGTCTTGCCATTGGGGCTTCTTAGAATACAAACAGATGTTTGAGAAGTATGATGCAGAGAATCCTGGCAAGTTCGGAGGAGGTGGCGAATACAACGTGCAATTTGGTTTCGGGTGGAGCAACGGTGCAGTGTTAGAGTTTATGAAGAAATATGGAGAAGGTTTGACTGCAGACGACTCTAATGACTTGGCTACCACTGCATCTCCCTCCAACAATAGCGATACTTCGAATAATACCGCATGACTAGGCGTGGGTGTAGTAAATAACTTTTTAATTTTTCTATCAGCATTCAAAATAGTTTTTGATATTCATAATAACTGAAGGTTGTGACTACATACATAATAATTAGCTAAGAAAGTGCCATAAGGACATAAAATGTCTAAAACAAACAAAAATGGTACAACAATATTCAATTCACAAGTAAGACTTTGTGACGATAGTACACTAGTCCTATCGTTAAATTTTTTAATAAAATTACATAGGTTTGAATAAAATTACACACAATAAAATCAAAAATTCCTAAACATAAAATATCTTAATGTGAAGTCAGTTAGTGTGTTTTATTGGCACATTAACCATAATAATTATGTTCTTTGACTGTAGCAGATATAGCTTCAGAAACGCAAAATCATTTTAGTTAACCTCTTGGCTGTGGCCGCCATTTTGATTTGAATAGGGTAAATGACTAATTTTTATTTTAATGTCCGTCTGATAGATTATTTAAAAACATTAGACATGTATTTTTTATTTTCTTACGGAAACGAATAGTTTCGAAGATATATTTATTTGAAATATCCATGACGTCACTTTTGAGTACGATTTATACTCTAAAATGACGTAGCTACCTACGACCCACTCCTAAACTTTGATTCGTTTTATCTAATTGTTGTTTTCTTATACGACAAAATAAAAAAATACGTGTCTAATATTTTTTCATTACCTAACTGACGGACTAAATAGATTTTTAATTTTCATACCCTGTCATCATCCCTATTGTTTGCCTGTGGGGCCAGGGGTTAATACAGTAATCTTCAGGGTCTTCGAGCGAAATCCTTAGGTACCTACCTTAAAGGTTCATCAGGGTACAATATTATACATAAATGTGTTACCTATTATGTATTAATTGTTAGACAATTTACAACTTTATAAATAGGCATTTATTAATTTATTTTAATGAAACAATGTGTTTGTAAGTAGGTTTCATAAGTCCTTACCTACTTGTATAGTTTACCCTATATGTGAAACAGTTACCAATGTAGATATAAGAATATTATTATATTAATATTATGTTATTAAATTAAGTACCTACTTAAACTAAATGTATTTAATAGTGATTTTAACTTTGCCAGGTAACTTTCAGTTATTACTTTGTACTTTCTTGTAGGTCTTATGGAACATGATTATAAATGTAGAAAAACTGTTCGGACTACAATTCGAAACAATAAAACTGCAAAATTTAATTTAGGACGGTCTTATTCCACACGAACGCCACCTGTGGACGATAAAGACAATAATAAGAGGTTTTGAGTACATCTTTGAAATTTGATAATAAGTAACTTTAATTCATCACCAACTGAAAGTCTGTAGTTTCTAGATTAAGTAAAATATGTAGTTGATATCATTATATTTTTTGTTATAACTACACCGTGAATTCTATTTCATGTTCACCTTGAAGTAAAATGGTTCTGTCTTGGTATTACAATAGTTTTACAAAGTAATAAAATGTTTAAAACAAAAAAAGCAAACATCGGAAGCGCATACGAACTCATAGTACATTACCAAAACATCACGCCATGTAATTCTCGAAGAGGTATTTCTCGTCGGGTGGCATGTGCGATGCGAATAGTGCCTACAAATTTACGTCTACTGCATGTGCGTATTTCCGCAAAATTTTCTTTTAAAGTACAAAAAATTACATCTATATTTTTTAGTTTTTATTTTATACATCCCAAGTATTCGAAATAGATTTCACGATGTATGTATAAGTTTATCCGTTTCTGATTAAAATCATAATAATTTATTATAAATGTTTACATACCTGTATTCATTATAGTTCTGTTGATTTTATTTTTATTGTGCCGTAAAGTTTTTTTTAAAACCAGTAGTATTTCACTCAATTTTTTTGAATGCTTGTGCTAGCGTTTAGACAAATGATGGTAGTAGATTGGTGCACGGCCGGTCTGCCACAAATGGAGTTATTCAAAACCAGTTTATCATTGTATAATCACCACAAACATTCAACGGTCAGTTTATACTGGTCTTTCATAACTAGTCCCCATATTCCCTTAGACATGACATTTTAGTGCTAGTTGAACTGAAATTCGACAAATTATGTCAAAACTAATATGAAGTAAGTGTGAGAGAGCCATGCTTCGGCACGAAAGGGCCGGCTCGACCGGAGTCATACCACGGCCTCACAGAAAACCGACGTGAAGCAACGCTTGCGTTGTGTTTCGTCGTGTGAGTGAGGTTACCGGAGGCCCAATTACCCTCCCCTTCCCCAATCTCTTCAATCCCTGAATCCCCAACGATCCTCATACTCCTAATCCCCCAAAAGCCGGTAACGCACCTCTGGTGTTCCAGGTGTCCATGGGCGACGCCGATTGCTTACCATCAGGTGATTCGTATGCTCGTTTACCGGCTTATGCCATAAAAAAAATAAAGTACCTAAATACATATTCATACTCGTTTTCACTAAACACTCCTGATTTAATGGAACCCCTAAGCCAAGATAAATGAGTCCTATCAGTACAAGCAAGGGGTTAGTTTCGATGCTAACGTCACGATAAGCAACTTTTAATTGAGTGACAGTTAAGCGGTGGTTGGTGTTGGTGAAAATGGGTAACCCTTTCTCTATATTGGTGGCCTTAGTATGTACGAGTTTGTTTTACGTTTAAAGTAATAGAAACGAAACCGCGGTCGGTGCTCTGATTGCTTGATTCATTGAAGCCGGCCAATCAGAGCGCCGAACGTGGTCTCGTTTGACTTTGTAGTTTGATTAACGTTAAAATGGCATTTGTCTAACGAAACTATGGGATATTATTTTATGGGGAGTTATGCCTACGAGATATACCTACCTAATAAACCATTTATGGATACCAGTTCGTAGCTATATGACAGACAACAATGTACCTAATACTTTGTTGTTAAAGTGTTTTATTCTTTGACAAGGCAGGTCCCTTCACTTTGAAACATATTGTACGTCTGTCATATCAACACCATCCTATAAATAATAATACTATTGTTTAAGTTAATTGTGTCTGTTGATAGATATTACTGTTTGTTAAAATAACTAGACCAATGTGTTATATAAAGGCTGTGTCTAATGTATGTGTGAGTTTTATTTGCTTGAAATTCTATCCCTTAAACAGTGCACAAATAAGGAACATTACACCGTGAAATCTATTTCGTTTCGTCACGCAGTAAATGATTCTGTCTTAGAACTCACAGTATTGCACAGACTGCACAGTTGGTGCGGTGGCTGGGCAACTGGCTGCCGCGCAACGTGTCAAAGTCAAAAGTCAAAGTCAAAGTCAAAATAATTTATTTCAATTAGGCCAGAATGGCACTTTTGAACGTCAACAAAAACAAAAATTTTAAGTGAAGCTATTTGCTCATTCCAAGGCGTAGATTCCTATGGAGAAGATGGAGAAGAACGAGCAAGAAACTCCATAGGTTACTTTTTTCAATCAGGTTCACAATACATTTATAGTTACATAGTTTTGCTGTTTGGATTGTGCGAGAACTATGTAACACTAAAATCCAGTCAAAGTGATCAAAAAAGATAATAACCTAAGGACAGTAATACAGTCTGGAGCTGACCAGTCCCAGTTGACGGCGCCGTTCACGAACATGACACGTACACCAGCACCGCCCAAATCAACCATATTGTAGGGAATCGAGCGATCACTGCACTCGCCACGCCAATGAGACTTTTGAGTGAGCATGACAACTCCAAGCTGACACAAATGAAATTATAATCTAATTTAATATTAAGTTAATTACAGGGCTCTCACATTTACAATGGTTATCTAAGTTAAACAATATACAATTTAGCAATATGGCTGTATTATTTACGATTTCATTAAAACAAGTGTTTTTAGTTATCCTGTGGAGCCGGACTAGCCTGCATCAAGCATTTTTTATCCTCTATTATTCATTAAGTTTGTAATTGCTTGTCTACATAAAGTTTTCTTTATACATAATTTAAATTTCGATTCATTTAGTTGTTGTACATCGCCTGGTATCTTTATTATACATTTAACACAGAATCCCATGAACGACTTACTTACTTTCGCTAATCTCGAAATTGGCTGACTTAATCTATTTTTATGTCTAGTTTGATAGTGGTGTCTGTCCGACACTTTACCAATAACTGTAGGTTTTTCCTAACATACATAATGTTTTCATAAATAAATTGAATGGAACGGTCATAATGTTGATTCCTTAAACCTTTCTCTGAGTGATTCGCGACGACCTAGATTGTAGATAGCTCTGACGGCGCGCTTTTGTAAGATAAAGATAGATTCAATGTCAGCAGCGTGTCCCCACAGCAAGATGCCATACGACATAATGCTATGAAAGTAACTGAAATACACTAGTCTTGCGTGTCTATGTCAGTTAACTGTCGTATTTCCAGACAGCATAAGCTGCAGAGCTCAATCGTCCCGCTAATGATGTAATGTGAGGACCCCATTGCAATTTGTCGTCTACAGTAATTCCCAGGAAAGTTGTCTCTTTTACAAACTCTAATTTCTCACCATTCAATAATATGTCACAATCGTTGCTTTTAACATTTGGCAAAACAAATTTAATACATTTTGTCTTTTTATTGTTTAGTACTAAGTTATTTAATGTAAACCAATTATGAACTTTCATTAGGGCATTATTTACGTCGTCATAACTATTTGTGCGTCTATTAATTTTAAAAACTAATGAAGTGTCATCAGCAAATAATACCATCTGCGGTTCATTTTTAAATAAATGGGGCAAGTCATTTATGTACGCTAAAAATAAGAATGGACCTAGTATCGAGCCCTGCGGTACACCCATAGATATGCTAGCACCCTGTGAATTTACTTTATTTACTTGTACTTTAAGTTGCCTATCCTGAAGGTATGATTTCAACAGATTTAGCGACGTCCCCCGAATGCCGTAGTGTTTCAGCTTCAGCAATAGTGTCTCATGCTCAACACAGTCGAATGCCTTCGAAAGATCACAAAATATGCCGATGGCATCCCGTG